GGGTTCGAATCCCGTTGAAGCCCTAATTTTTTCAGGCTTCTTCTTTCCAATTGCTTAAATTGGAAAATTTACTGCCATGATCATTCTTCACTTTCATCTTTACCCTTATTATATACTTTTTTTATTTATTGCACGGTCGATTATTGTTATTTAGGTGAGGGTCACAGGTTTGCCAGTCCACGACTGAAAAGTGTTTTCGCTCTATGATGAAATTATTATTATTATTATTACTCTACGAATATGTCTCAAAGATTTTGGACTGTGAGCCTAGTGTAGTCGTGGTGTACCCTATAGCCCTCGAACACAGCGTTATTGAGTGCCATACTTGAGGGTTCGCTCTGAAAACGTTCTGTAGGGGTGATATGCGCAGCCAACCATAGAGATATGTTACTCGGGAAACGCTTTGTTTGCCGATTTTTTAAATGGACGCATGAAGACATGTCTTACCCTTTGTAACTACCGGCGAAAAGTACATAAACAGAGAGAGTGAACTTCTAAAGTGTCTCGGTGATAAGTTTAAAACACTGAAAAGGTGGTAGGCGGTACGATTTTGTGTTAGGAAAACACGTATCTCGGAAAACACTCTGAAAGTCGAAGAAAAACTAGACCTTCCAACGCACGTTAAGGCCACTGGACACCAAAAACCTCTAGAGAAAGTGGGTAAAATTAAGCGAAGGAAAGGGAAAATAGCTTGACCTGGAGGGGAAATGAAAATGGAAGGCTATGTTAGCTTACAAGTAGCAATGAAGTTTTCAAACGTTTGGCGATAATCCCTCCAGATAACGGTCAGAAATAGGCAGCTTTAGTATTTTGACTATGCCTTTTGTGGAAAAATCGAACCCTTGAAGGTATAACAGATTATTTTTTTTCCTATTTTGTGATCTTACGCTGAAATCAATTCAGGCCACTGTAACCTAAACCTGATTTTACTCTGACATTGTCTCTCTCTGAGTGAGTGGGAGTACATGATTGTCCGAGCTTTTTTCTTGCTTTTTGTTATTGCACAAATGTTTGATAATGTCAGTTTCACTGGGAAAGTTATTGTGTCCATTGTAAACGTTAGCTTGGCGAGTAGCCAACAAATTCAGTTAATTAACGTAAAAACTCGAGCTTTTTCACGTGCGAGGGTAGTCAACGAGCGGAGTTGTGGCTGACTAAACGAGTAAACTTATTGTTGAGATGGAAACGCTTCTTGTTCTGTCTCAAAAGTCGTGTGTTTTATTTAGTTTTTCCGAGCGTAAAATTAAAGAAATGTTGATTTAGCCTTCTACGCAGATGAGCCAAACGAATGTCCGCATTAGGAGGCTAATGCACTCGCGCTGGCGTTGACTCTGATCGACAAATAATCAACGATTGAATAGCCAATCAAATGCATGGGAAACGACAAGGAAAATTGCTATTTTCCACTGAAATGAGAAGCCGATCACAGCTTCACCTCCAGCATGTAGCGGTATATCAATACCTTTGCGCTTTTGTAGCACTTATCAGCCAATCAGCCTGCGTGGAGGTCTTGGGTTCAATTCCCGTTGGAGTTGGGATACTCCCTTATATGGGCTGTGTAGGTATGTACGGCCCCAAAGGCCTAAAGGGTATGGTTTTTTTTTACTGTAGCCGTTTTGGTCAGAAATAGGGTATCGAATTTGGTAATTTTGGTCTCAAATAGGGTTTGGTTTTTGCTACCTAGTCTTGAATTGTGTATGTTTTTTTTTTGTAGAAGAAGCTACTCTTTCATCATTATCGATAAGACCATCAACAAAAGTCCTTCACTATACCTTTAACATCGGTCTGAACTAGAGAACTAATTATACCGATGCAGGTCTGAAACAGGGTATTGATTTAATGGTCAGGTCTTTTAAAAATAGGGTGTCGAATTTTTGGACAGCTCATAAATGGGGAATAGAAAATCGCAGTCTTGGTCTTAAATAGGGTAAGGGATTTGGGAAGCGGGCTACACAGCCCAACCCAATTTTTCTGGGAGTGCCCCCCCGGCTAAAAAACCTGTAACGTTGCATGTATTTATCAGATTTCGCTAAAACCATCCTCGGTATGTTATGATAAGTGGACTGATAACGAGCTATCGACTGCTCCAGTATAGTCGTTCTCCGGTTCTTTTGTCATTGCGCGGAGCGAACGGGCCACTTATGAAGACAGAGCTGTGTAACCAGATCGGGTGCCATTAGTTTATTAGCAGTGAACTGTGTGCGACACATTTTGCCCCAAGTAATTGATATATCGTTTATTTTATGTTCAGACGCGTAAAATGACGGCATTAATAAGTTTGATTTTGCCTTTGTCAATGGCCAATATATAACCGCCAGTTTATTCCTTTGTATAAAAATATCACATTTACAGAGTGCAATTAATCAAAAATACTTTACAGCTTAATAGGAAGTAAATTTTGACGTATAGCGTTCGTTGTGAAAAAGAACACTTTCAGGAAATGTTTATTGACGGTGATATTAGTACACTTCTTCCAACATTAAAAAGATTGCGCGTCGATTGGGATCGATCTAGAATCTCTGCGGGTCAAGCGCATGTTGGCCCGTATTACTGGGATTCAGATCCGTATCAATTCGGATAAACCGCATTTGCCGCCCGTATTAGTGCAATTCAGTCGAGTTTGATCCCGTATCAATGCGGGTCAACCGCATTTTTTCACCCGTATCAGTGCGATTCTGTTGAGTCTGATCCAGTATCAATGCGGTTCAGCCGCTTCTTGGACCGTATTAGTTCAAGTCAATCACTGATTGGACTCACATTACGCTGCGGGGCAAGTGGGACTCGACCCGTATTCAGGAGTTGGGCGCGGAAAACTGCCTCGTAACTCAAATCGAAAAATGTTGCACAATTTCCTCAATGTACAGTATCAATCGCAATTGAGAGAGAAGAAAGTTCAGAAAATACAACGCAATTGTAGAACACACAACAAAACAGCAAGCACAGTGGCCAGCATTGTGCTTGTCACGTGAGTTCGCCCTGTCGCTACGTTACACAAGTCGCTATGACAACAATCTATTTGACAAGTTTTGTATTTTTTCTGGCAGTCTTTGTCCGTACACGACCGCGCTTGGCCACACATCTTGACAAAATCTTCCTTATATCCTTTTTCTGTGTCATCGTTTTCAATATGATGCATTGTGATGCAGACGTCGTCGTAGTTGGGGTAACAAACCCCTACTTTTTTATTCTTTTCACATTCATCCCACGATATGTTCGAGTGGCAAAGGTAACATTTGAGATCTTCACTAAGGCAAGGTGCTGGAAGATAAACAAATCGAAAGTTAGTGTCGTCCTAAGACTCCGTACGTGTGACGTAAGTTGAAGCAAAGAATTAATTTGACCGGGTGAATATCAAGTCTTTCCTTCCCAAGTGTCTCTGTTAACCTGTTACTAGCTACGGTCCTGGGTTAAGCCCACTGAGTTACGGAAGCTATCAAGACTACTTAAAAAAATCTTCAAATGACGTGGAACAATTTAAGATGACAACATTTTGAGCCAATACCGTGGCACCTCATGTACAACATGCCCGAATCATTCAATTTGCTTCCGGCTTAGTTCAACACTCGGAAAACTCACAAATTTCATTTCGGAAGACAAACATTGAAAAACAAACTTTATAAATCTTTAAAAAACCTCTTACTGATGAGGAAGAATTTAAAATGTCTTGTTATCGATTAATACTGCGGCGCTTTGTGAACAACAACGTGCTTAAAAGCTTATGGCAGGAGTAAAGTGCAAATTTCTCTCTTCCGGCAATAACTGTTCCGCATCACAGGAGTTAAGTCAGCTTTCACTCTCGCAGCCATTTAAGACGCAAAATTGGAAGAAATCCCAAATTCCATTTTGTAAAAATATCGAGGAACAAACAGCACTACACGAGAGTACTGCTCGATAACTTTCATTTTAATGTTAACACGCTTGGCTCCTGAGAACACCTTCGTCAGCATAATACACAGTTGCGCATCATACGAAAGCAATAGTTCTTATGTTTGTATGGAATCGACTCATAACTGCCGCGAGCAAATGGAAGATTTCCCATCAAATATGTCTAGTTTCACGACAAGGGAACGATATATTAAAAAGCAGAAAAGAAAAGTAGTGCTACTGGAAGTGACGAGTTTATTTAGATGCTTACGGGAAAGAGGTAACGGTTTGTGATTTTGAAAGAGTCGCAATTGAAGTTTAACAAGTTGGAGACAAAGGAACGCATTCCTTTCAGCACATTTTCTTAATTATTGTCACGAAAAATTTGTAAACCCTTCTATATAGATCTAATCTCCACTGTCAACTCATATGCTGTGACGGTAGCTTTTTACTGAAGAATTAGCTGTTTATGATGAACATGATGTTAAAATTACTCTTGCCGACTGTCTACAGTGAATCTTTTTCCGGGTTTGACTTACGAAGAGCGTGCTAAATCTCTACCCACATCTGCGAATTATGCCTGCTCTATAAATCTTATGGGTGAAGAATAATACAATTTGAGACTCGCCGAGACGTCGAAATCTGATACTAAGACTTCCATGATTTTAGATGACATTGCACTCTGAATCGCCAGATGTCAAAGTTTAATTTACAACTCGTTTTCTCTCTTCGGGTACTGCTCTCAAAACGTAACGAAGCTAAACGAAATGTCGGTTTTAACATGCAAAGAATCAAGGCAGTCTGAAGGGAAATATTTATTTATTTATATGAAGAGCTTATCTGAAAACAGCGCTGTATTAGATCTTCCGTTCAGAAGCGTTCTAGCTTCGTTTTAGCTTCGTTGCAGCGTTGCGTGGGCTTGATTGCGAGGAACTTTTTTCATAAATTCGTGCGTATTGATTCGGTTGAAGATTTTTTGTCAGTTATGTGTCGCTGAAAGAATTCCCAGCTTTATTACGACTATACAATTGCAATATGACTTGTCTTTAACCACATAATGCAAGACTTTTAATAAGTCTCCCACGTGCGTATGATAATTTGTGCTGTCCTGTCTACAAACCGGGGAATTGAAAAGCGGAAATTTACGGCAATGAATCAGCCTTGATAACAATTATTTTAATAAAGTTGCGTTGAGAAGACTTGCTTTTAGCCTCAAATCTTCCACGGGTATTTAGCTTTTACGAACATATACAAAATGTGAAACAATTGACCACTGATCACACACTTGGGTTCCAAAAACCACCATGTTCAGCATAATAAACAGTTCAGCTTCACATGAAAGTAGTAACTACTTAATGTCTATCGATTCTTAGCAACCAAGAACAAGGGAAAGATTTGCAATCAAATGGGTCGAGTTTCATGGGAATGGAACGCTATTAAAAAGTAGTAAAGAAAAATAGTGCTACTGGAAGAGACGAGTTCATTAAGATGCTAATAACTGAAGATGCAACGATTAGTGATTTTGACTGAAAGAGACGGAACTCGAGTTCCGCAGATTCTGGAAATATATTCCTTTCGGTGCGTTTTGCAAAATTTATATTGTCACGTGAAAGTTGTTAACCCTTGGAATGCTCGTAATCTCCTTAATTTCAACTCGTCATGCAGTAACGGCCAGCCTTTTACTGCCCATCGAGTTGTTGTGATAAATGTGATCGTAAACTTTCTCCTTCAGTGAATCGCCTTCCTGTTTTGACGTATGAAGGGCGTGCTAAACCTCTGTCCTCATCTGCCAAAATGTATTCTATATGAACCTAGTATAAAATAGACGGGAAGATAGTCAAAGCCGAGACTCCCCAAGTCGTGGAAACCCCTTTCAGAAAAGTGTAGCACGATTTTAGAGGAATGTCGAAACACGAAGACTTATTTTTGTGTAAGGGCGTTCGAGATTTCGAGATGGGTTCCGAGAGCCAAGATTTTCTAGGTGCCATTTGCCAGCCCTGTCCCTGAATTTCCTTCATCGTATCATTAGGTTTTCTATCCGCACTGAATTGCCAGATGACACAGTAAACAGCTGGTTGTTCCCTTCGGGTGCTGCTGATTAAGGGATAAACATAATCGCCGTTCAGTTTTGCCATGCATGCAAAGAATTAGGCAATCTTTGAACGGAAATATATAGGAAGAGCTAAGCTGGGAAGATTTCTGCATTCCAACGAACTGAACGCCTGGAAAAGGCTATGGATACCGCTCTTTTTCGTTAGATTTTAGTGTCACTACAACTCTGTGTGTAATTTATTGCGAGGGATTTTGTCATTTACGAATTCAAAGCCGCATACCCTGAGAAGATTTGAGGCCGGGATGAAAGATTCATATTTATGTGTCGTTGCAAGAATTCGCTCTCGACTGAACGATTAGTTGCAATAAAACTTGTTTTTACCACAAAATGCAAGACTTTTCATTAACTCCCCAACGTTCTACGTGGTAATTTGTGCTGTCCTATCTACAGACCGAAGATAGCAAAAACAGAAGTTTTATTCTCGCGAATCAGTCTCCGCGATGAACAGTTATTTTAAACGAACAAATTTACATTAGGAATACCTGCTTTTAGCCTCAAATCTTCGCAGGGTATGCGGCTTTTATGAAACTCATTGCAAAATTTGGCACAATTCACCGCTGATGAAAATTCTTGGTCAATTCTAATCACCACTATGACTTAACTTTCTACTACTGATTACTTACCAGCAAACAACAGCAGCCATATTGAAAACAACTTCAAATATAACAGTCCTATATTCGACCACATTTTCTCCCGGCTTTGTTATTGTCCCGACAACTCTTGAGCTCTTTGTGAAATATGTGGCCAAATGTTTGTAACCGGATCATGAAGTCCGGTTTCGAGCGGCAGTGTCGAACTCTTGTTCGCTTGGCAAGAACTTCCGGGATACATAACAGGGTCGTTATGTAAATATTGTTTTTAAATTGCTTGACGTGACTCGTGGGAAACTTGAAATGACCCCTAAGATCCGCACAACAGTCGGTTTTTTTTTGTATGGACGGCATTCTGACGTAGCAAATTGGAAAACAACGGTCCATTGTACCTGTTATTATACATTGAACCCACTATCTCTTTTCTGATTGGTCGAAAGTGTACAGTTAATTTTCGAAATCAGCGCCTGTGACGTCATCTCTACAGAATATACATCAATCATGTCAAGGACACTCAAGGTCAGGATAATCATGTCAAGTTGGCGCGCTTTGTGTTGCTTGCCGTCAGTGAAGAAACAAACACATGACTTTCATTTTTTTCGTTCAGTGTATAGTAAAACAATTATTAGATTCGGTTTTTGTGATATCCAGAATAATCAAGGTCTTGGTAAGGGTTATCAGCCGAAGCCGAAGGCCTTACCTCGACCTTGATTATTCTGGATATCACAAAAACCTCATCCAATAATTGTTTATAATTGATCAAGGTCCCATTTCCAGGCTTCGCCCATAATTAGCACCCAACTTTTGCGGTAGCCAGAAAGAATATGAAAAGCAAAATATAGCGAGAGTAAAAGGGCCGAGAAAAAGGAAAGGAAGAGAGCAATAAAAGAAATTCGGAACGGGCCATCGCAAAAAAAGGTCCAAATTTTGGCTTATGCGCATGCACCAAATTTAAAATAACTCGAACTTCACAGTGAAGAACTCAACTGACTTCGCCTCCACTATCGCCAGTGAAGAGATCCAGGACCACGAGATCATGGTGTCTTTCGACGTAGAGTCACTGTTTACCAACTTACCGATCGAGGGCGCCGTACAAGCCGCGCTACAAAAAATGGAGAACGATGCAGGCCTGGCTGACCGCACGACACTTACACCAG